CATGACCAGCCTGGCTTCTCAGCACAGGGCGTGGGAACGCCTGTCCCTCACGCGTGTCCTGGAAGCCTGCCTTGGACTTACTTTCTGCCACTGGACACAGGTTCCTTCCCGAGAGCTAGAGTTAGTGTGGCAGGCTGCTTCTTTTCTTTTCTTTTCCTTTTCTCTTCTCTTTTCTTTCTTTCTCTCTTTCTTCCTTCTTCCCTTTCTTTTCCTTTCTTTCTTTTTCTTTTTTCTTCCTTTTTTTTTTGTTTTTCTTTTTATTTTCAAACAGGGTCTCACTATGTAGTTCTAGTTTTTCCTGTGGGTTCTTTCTTGATTCCTGGACCGCTACTTCTTTTTCTGTTCACTAAGTTGTTTTTGAAGTGTCTCCATTCCAGGTTATCAGAGAAGCTGTATTTTGCCACTGGTCTGTCCTCAGACAGTTGTCAACCTTACTAGTCCCATTCAAAGGGCTTCAGCATGCTGCCTTGGGGACCTGAGGTGTGAGCACACTTCCTGTCCCGCCCCGCTCCACTGCTTGGTCTGTGATCATGTGACTCATTCTGGCCAGGGCGGAAGTGACACACATTACTTCCGGACTGAACTTCTGATTGCTGGTAGAGGGCTCTTTCTCCTTTGCCAGTGACCATCTCAGTTCCAGGGAGCATCCTTCATCAGCCCAGGTCTGGAAGAAAGGCGGAGTAGAGTCTCTTAACACCCATACAATTCCACTGTCTTAAACACTGAGAGTTTTTAAGTTGTATGTTACTGCAGCATGGACTAGCACATTCACACCGACAAAAACACCTTTTTTCAGTCAAGAGGCATCAGATGGCCTTTGAAGCAAACCAGCCAGCAGAAAAGGTAGTTGTTCATGTTGGATAATCCATTCTAAGAACAAAGGGATCGTATGAAAAGCTATCTTAATCTCAATCCCAGCATTCAGGAGGCTGAGGCAGGAGGACAGGGAATTGGAGGGCAGCCTAGGCTACACAGAAAGTTCAAGACCAGCCTGGACTCCACGGCAAGACTTTGTCTCAACAGACAAATAAATGAATAAATAAATAAAACTCAAACTGATCTGGACAATATTGCTACAGCTCAAGCCATAGAGCTGCTCAGCGGACCTTGGAGTATTTAAAATACTGATGGAACCAACGCACAACAGAAACCCAGACATATTCTATTCTTTGAAAGATCATTCGTCCCAATTTGGGGAAAGCTGGAAGCTACAAAGTGCTCAAGAGAGAGATCAAGGGGAGATGAGTTCATCAAAGCCGCCCCCATATAATCAGACATGAGAGGTGGAAACGGGCGCTTTGGGGGCCTCGTGGGCAGCTCTGTGAAGCTGTTATGTTGGGAACAAATTTAGTTCTTAGTTGTCACCTGGGCTCTCGGAAACTGACCTGCAGGACCAGAGCCGAGGGTGCTTTGCGTGCTCCCCCTGCCCTCTGGCCCGCAGGCCAGCTCTGTGTGCTTTTCCCATTCGTGCGGCTCCATCTCGGCTGTCACCCTGCGCTCAACACAGCAGGAATACGAGTGAGGGACTGGTCCTCCTTGCACGCGTTCCCGAGGGGGAAGGGAAAAGCTCAGGAGCCCGAGTCTCAGGAGCCGGCGTCCGCTCGCTTCAGCAGTGCAGGAGGCGCTGAGGCTTCCAGCCAGCTGGTTGCATTGCCGTAATTAATAGAGCTGGCCAGGTGCTTGCTCGGTCAGCTCCTGAGACACAGGACTCACCCTATATGCGTCTGCGAGGGAACAGCGTCCTGAGGACTTAACAACCTGCTGCGGATTCAGCCAGGTTCGGGCTTTAGCATCGATTCTGCCACTTAATAACTGGGTAGCTCAGACACTCAGCCTCCTGCTCTATAAAATGGGGATCCCAGCGCCCCACGCCTCTGATGTGCAAAGCTGCTATTGCATGTGGGCTGTGCTGGTGCTTGGCGTGTGACATCAGGCAGAATGAGTCCCTTTGCCAAAAGGCAAAGACAACCAGAGTATGTTTTGATTATATCAATGGCAATACGGTTTTCGTTAGCTTTTTTTTTTTTTTTTTTGAGACAGGGTGTCATTACGCAGTTTGGGTTGGCTTTGAACTCACTATGTAGTTCAAGCTATCCTCAAACTCACAGTGATCCTCCTGCCTCAGCCTCCATGGTGCTGGGATCACAGGCATGTGCTACCACATCTGGCTTTTTTTTTTTTTTTTTTTTTTTTTGTCTTTTTGAGACAGGGTCTCATAATGCAGTTGAGGCTGGCCTTGAGCTCACTTTGTAGCCCAAGCTGGCCTCAAACTCACAATGATTCTCCTGTCTCAGCCTCCCAAGTGCTGGAATTGCAGGCATGCGCCATCATATTTTTTGACAGTGGGGTTGAACCCAGGTCCTTCACGCTGAACTATGTCCTTAGCTCTTTTTATGTTTTATTTTGAGACAAGCCCTAGCTAAATGGCCTAAACTGGGCTATAATAGAACTCTTTAGCCAGGGAATATAAATGCTATAAAAGTTGCACAGGGTAACCCACTCGGGCCACCCTTCTGTCTCTCTCTTGGACAGAAGCTTTCTTTCCCTCAATAAATATATTCTGCTCTTGAAAAAAAAAAGTTGCTCAATGTTTACCTCAAGGGAAGGGACCCATTTTCATTTTAACTTCATTTTTAGAATGTTGACATGTCCTAAAATTTAAAACAAGTTTAAAACAAGTACATTTTAAAATATATTTTTGAAGGATTTTACTTTTTTTTTTTTTTTTTTTTTTTAAGTTTCTTTTTCACGACCTTAGCTTGTCAGGCAGGCACTGTCCCGCTGAGCTAAATCCCCAGCCCCGGATTTTACATTTTTACTAGTACACATTTGCAGTACGTAATGATTAAATTCATCATGGGGAGCTGGTACACACCTACCTTCTTTTTACGTCACCCTTCCCCTCTCCCTCCCCCTTTGTTTTATTGGTACATGTTTGCAGTACGGAGTGATTACATGCATCGTGGGGGAAACAAGTACGTTTGTTTGTTTGTGAGTTCAGGCTGGCCTTGAACTCGTTGTGTAACCCAGGCTGGCCTCGAAACTGCAGCGATCCTCCCGCCTCAGCCTCCCAAGCGCAGGGATTATAGGCGTGCGCCACCAAGCCGGGTTTCAACAAGTATTGTCGAAAGAAGAAAAAAAAACCAAGTCAGGCGAGCAGGGTGGCCAGTTTATGTCCAACTCAGCTCCTCCAGATGCAGCGACCAAGAAAACTACAACTAATCCCTACTAACAAGGCGCACCCTTCCCATACGGCCTGGGGTAGACCCCAGAATGTGACCGGCCTTTCCATTGCTCCCAACTTTCCCCCAGGGCCTGGGGAACAGCTTCCACGCCACGTCGCGAGCCCCCGGGGTCGGGCCGGGCTGGGCGTGCGGGGCGGGGAGCCGAGGTCGGCCGGATCAGGGTTGGGGCGGCCGTTACGGCGGTTTCGGGCCGGAGCCGGGCAGGGCCCGGGGC